TGTGTGTGACATGATCAAACCTGTGTTTTAGGGCTAAAGGGAGGATAGAATGGAGTGGAAAGAAACTTGAGAAAGGCAGACCCATCACCAGGCTATTGCAATAATCCAGATGTGATGAGGTAATGAGGGCCTGCCCTGGAGTGGTGGTCATGTAACAGAAGGTGGTGTATTTGAGAGATGCTGCAAGAGTGAAATCGACAGGCCTTGGCCAGAGTTTGGATATTTGGGGTGAGAGATAGTGTGGAATCCAGGATAACTCTTAGATTACCAGCCTGAGGAATTGGGGGGATGATGTTGCCCTCCACAGAAACAGGGAAGGTAGGAGAGGAGGAGGAGTCAGAAGGAAAGATAATGAGTTCTGTTTTGGACATGAGTTTAATATATCTACTGGACATCCAGTTTGAGATGTCTGAAAGGCATGTGGAGATGTGAGACTAGATGTCAACAGAGAGACTGGGGCACCATTTCTGATACATACGGACTGTGTGACTCTGGGCAAATCATTTGACCTTTCAGTGCTCTCTAATCAACTCTAAGAACGTAAGTTGCAGAGAAAGTGATGATGTGTACTATTAGGGGAATTGGCTCAGCTGGGAACCATATATACTAATATACATAATAATATACTAATAGAATCACAGATTTAGTCCCTATCCCTATATTAGCATTATCCTAAGAACCTGGCTCAATTTTGTGTATGAATGTTACATGGTAACAGCTAGAACAGAATTGAGGGCTTTGTTCAAGGCCTACCATTTTGGCAGCGTAATGGGGAGCTGCCATGTCTGTTCCAAATTGGGGTTTAGTTTGCCATGGACTCACTATCAACACTGTAGCTAACCAATTCTAGCATCTATCATCACTATTATTTTAGGTAATATCATACCTGAAATCCATAGCTCTGGCATAATAATGCTGCGAAATGCTGTTATAGCAAGTTAAAAATAGAATTGTGATCCTGTATGGATAAGGAAGTTGGAGGATTTTCTCCTAATCAAGGAAGAACATGAGACATTTGACTTTAATCTATCACTGGAAGCCTTTTTATACCCTTCCCTCAACTATAAATTATAAGAATGCCATAAAGCCAAAATTATAAATGCTTGTAAGTACTACACAGTGCCAGCATTTGCAGAACACCTGTTTATTTATTTTTGTTGTTCTTTTTGCTTTTTGGTGAGCCAATTGGGGTTAAGTGACTTGCCCAGGGTCACACAGATAGTAAATGTCAAGTGTCTGAGGCCAGATTTGAAGTCGGGTCCTCCTGACTCCAAGGGTGGAGCTCTATCCACTACACCACCTAGCTGCCCCAGAACACCTGTTTAGAGTAGAGTTCATTCACTCACCTAACCAGCTGATCCCGTAAAAGAGTCAGGAGGGAAGCCCTGCTCTTGTATCAGCCACCTTGGCACAAGCAGCCCCCCTTTCACCACTTTCCTACCATGTAATCCAAGACAATTGGCTGATTTAATTTAGGTGCATTCAGTGTTCCTCTATGCCATATAATAATATACCCTTTATAAAAAAGGTAAAATTATCTTGGTTGTGCAGGTTATTCATAATTATCTTTTTTATTCTGAATATTTCATTTTTATCTTAATAATTTTTGTGCTTGTGATAAGCAGGGTCCTCTAAAGTATGTGTGGGAGGAGGTGGGACCCTGAGGCAGGCCTGGGGCAAGGGCCCTGTTTTCTTCAGTCTAAAAGTGGTACCGCTATCGAAATTCCTAATCTACCTGGAGAGGCAGGGTATGTACATAAAGGAATAACAAGGAGGCATTTGCTAAGTACCAGTAAGTGCTATGGGAGGTCAAAGTGTGGTGGATGCCAGGGAGGAGGATAAGGAAATAAGCAGATGTTTCCTAGAAGAATTAGGACTTGAGCTTTATTTTGAAGGAAGTATTATATCTTAGACAAATCCCTCCTTCAAGCTACAGAGCACAGTTCTTTGGCACAAAAGTGTCAAGGCACGTATGTACTTGTATTTTATTAGTACGTATCCTTTCCAAGAGAATGTCAAAGTATAGATCCCAGGGAGGAGAACAAGGAATAGAGCTGGTGGTAGTAGAAGCAAAAGTAGGCAGACATACACACACCCTCCTTCCATCCCAAAAGTCTACTCTCTCCTAAGAGGGAATATAATCCTAGGATCCACAAACCAAAAGTTCATAGATTTACAGAATTGCCTTAGAGTAGGGGTGGGGAACCTGAGGCCTTGAGGCTACATGTGCCCTTCCAGGTCCGCCCCACTTAAAGGACCTGGAAGGGCACATGTAGCCTCA